TACTACTGTAATAGTTTTTTTGTATTTTTAAATTAGGATATGTACCTTTTTTTTAGATACAAGGGTATTATTGCACAGTTAATAGATTACAGTATAGTGTAAACATAATTTTTACATATACTGAGAAATCAGAAAATTCATGTGGCTCACATTACCATGTGATCTGGAATTGAACCCACAGTGCCTCGGGTCTACCTGTATTTGTCCATAATGTGGACTGATCACCAAAACAAGTCTAGTTATGGTTAACATCCATCACCATGTTTGTAATGTTTCTGACAAAGGGGAGGTCTAAAACTTTTGTTTTCATAATTATTAATTTTTTCTTTTACACCAATGTTCCTGGAAAGGTCTTTTCTATCCAAGTTTATGCTCTGATTTCTGTTTTCAACTTTTATCAGTCTGGAATATATTTGTACGTAGTATGGGGAGTAGGAATCTAGCTCCTGCTGAAAAGATAGTCCTTGTCCCAGCAAGATTTACTGCATAATCCATGCTTTTCCCTGATTTGAACACCACGTATAACATGTGCCAAAACAGCATAGGACTTTCAAGTCAGAGAGGAAAGTTATCCTCATAAACCAACACAGAAAGATAGCCTCATGCCGACTCTCATCGGAGGAAATGCGGGCCACTCTGGTACGACCTCGTCAGAGCAAGCTTGCAGCTCTCACCCGTTTCCCAGCAGCCGGAGGAGCGAGTACAGAAAGCAACCCTACCCTCCTGTGCTGTATTTAGCAAGGGGCTGTGGAAGGGGCAGTGCACTTCCCACTTCCCAGGGCAGACACCACGGCACTCAAGACTGACGATCTTGTGTAAAATAATCAGGGGGCTGGATAGATACAACTCTGCTGCTTTGACATCCCGGTGGAACCACGGTAATAATAGCACGTGGTATGTGTGACATCTTCCTCATAAACCAAGTTTTATTTAGAGTCAACGTTGGCTAGAATCTTACAGCATCATAATCTTTAAATATATTACAACAGCCAGACCCCATGAGGATGGTTCTTGACTGTCAGAGGCTTTTACTGCTTGCCTTGAGGATTTAAAGTAACTCAACTTCCTGGGAAAGAACTCTACAAGCAAGCACCAGAGCGGCAAGAACAATGACAAGGATTATCCTCAGCCTGTCCCCGGCAGCAGAAAGCAGCTATCATGCGAGAGCTTTTAATACAACAGTTCTATGAGGCCCAAATTTTTCTGTACTGGGAGTTATTCCCCAATGTTCTCGTACTCCCAAATGAGAAAAGTGAGACTTCGGAGAGGCTTAGCAACTAGCCCAAGGTCAGGACACACGTGCAATGTGGCAATCCTGAGATTTAAACCAACATTCAGTGCCTGAAGAGCTCCTTCTCTTTCTTCTCCTCTTCATGGTCTTACCTGATAAGGGAACTGTCTTTGAAATAATTGATAGAAGGCTGAAACTAAAACAACTACATAGAATTTTCAACTACTAGTCAAAATTAAAAAAAATAATATCCAAGGTTGAGCAGAATATAGTGAGGCCTGCACTCTCTTATGTTGTCAATCATGGTATAAATGGATATGAAGTTTTTGGAAAGCAATTTGGTTATTTGAGTGAAGTGGCTATAAATATGCATATGTTTTATTTAAACTACTTTTAAGAATCTATCACAAAAAAACTTCCCCAAACTTTGAAAGTGATCATTGTACAAGATGCTCATCATGAATCCTTTGTGAATGTGATAAGAAGCACCCCGAATATTCAAGAGGAGTGGTTAAATGTTGCTGCATATGCTAAATGTAACCGTCATTAAAAGTGATTACTTATGCTAAGTGACAAAACAGGGTATAAAGTTATCTAATTTTATTTAAAATCACAATTTAAAATTTAAACTAAAGGGTGATCTCTAAAGCTTCACATGCGAAACTTTAGAACTTAGCAAACTGCTATAATTAAAATTAATTGACTTCTGCCCTAAATTTAAAAGATACAGAGTTGGTCAACTTTAATCTTCACCACTGTTGGTTGCTTTAAAAAAAAAAACTATCTGAAAGGTATAAAACTTAATGCTCAGAGGAACATGTCTATATGTGGAGCCAGTGTCTCCTGCACCATCTAAAAGATGACCCACTGCCTGCAGAACATGAAGAAAGTCAAGGTGCCCTGCGGTCACAGGCTACAGGGCAGGGAGAAACCTTAGCGATCAATCATTTCACCTACACAGAAAAGAAAACTAGTATCAAAGAGGTTACATGAGGCACCCAAAGTCACTGGCTGCTGGACACCACTTCTTAGCATCAACGCTGTTACTCCAACAGCCAACACACCGCGACTTATCCTCAGCAGACTTACAATACTAGGTTAGTCTCAGGTCATGACAACAACTAACCAGCAACTAGAAAAACCTGGAAAAGTCAAGTTTATGATTTTTGGAACATACATGTCCATACCACATAATCTAGATTAAATCACGATGTTGACCCCTTAAAATACATCTTTTTCCCATTGCAATTATTAGAGCATTGATTCTCCGGGTGAATGGAAGGCAGGCATCCTCAAACTCTGTCATAAACCCCATTTCCGCTCCATGGTTAGAGGCTTTGCCAAACAAAACCGAAACACAATTCATACTGTCCATTTCTCGTCTCACTCAATCAGTTGTTAATTTGCCATTCTGATAACCTTTCCTGTCAAGGCCACTGGTATGTCAAAGGCCAGTGATAGGCTTTGGAAACAAGACATGAAGTCAGTCCAACAATGTGACCAGGGAAAATGCCTAACAGTTTCTCTGTGTGTAGAAAGAAGATACATACTGGAGATTATTATTTACTATACCTGTGAAAAGAAACATCTTTTACAATGGTTTATGTAATCACAGACTTGAGACATGAATTAAGGCTGCCTTTCCAAGTTGCATAGAACAGGCATATTTGATTTTATTTAACCAGCCCCTTTACTGTGACCAGTATCAACGGCAGCTTCCAAAGTATAGAAATGTTACACAGATACTTCCCAAACTTTCATTTTGAAAACTACAAAAAATTGTTGAAAGAAATTAAAGACCTAACTAAAAGGGAAGCCACCCTAAACCCATGAATAAAAATCCTTAATATTGTAAAGATGGCAATACTTCAGAAATTCTACAGATTCAATGCAATCTATCAAAATCTCAGCTGACATCTTTGCAGAAATTGACAAGCTGACCCTAAAGCTCATACAGAAATTCGAGGGACCCAGAATAGCCAAAACAATCTTGAAAAAGAAGAACAAGTTACAGAACTCACACGTCTTGATTTCAGAATTTCTTACACCACAGTAATCAAGACAGTGTGCGCCTGGCAAGGACAGACAGCAAGATCCATGGAATAGATTAAAGAGTCCAGAAACAAATCCTAACGTTTTTAACAAAGGTGCCAAAACATTTCAGTGGGGGAAGGAACAGAATTTTCAACAAATGGCGCTGGGACAACTGGTAATCTGAATGCAGAAGAATTAAGTTGGACCCCCTACTTCATCATATACAAAAATTAACTCAAAAGGCATCTTTGACCTAAGTCTAAGAGCTAAAAGTATAAAACTCATAGAAGAAAATATAGGCATAAATCTTCATGACCTGTATCAAGCAATGGCTTCTCAGATATAATGCCAAAAGGATAAATAATGTAAGAAAATAAAGGTAAGATGGATCTCATCTAGCTTTCAGATAAAGGTTATCTGAATTTCTAACATAAAGCCATTCTATAGTGTATTAGCAATCTTTTCTCCTGAATATTAGGATGAACTGGAGATGTAAAACAAAAGGAAATAAAAAGCTCAATGTGTGCAGAATAGTTTCTTTCGATTTTTAAATTAGCATTTGGTGAACACATATATTCAAACTCAGGCTATGGGGAATCTTAAGAATTTAAATCACTCTATGTGGCTGGGTCTGCCCAGCTTTAAGAACCTACAGTAGGTCACATTTCCCTGCCTAATTAAGCTGAGGAAGCCAAACACATCGTGGGAGCATCAAGAACATTAGTCATTCCGTGTGCAATGTTTTGCACCCTATTTTCTTTAATTACTATCTATAAACAGGGGATCACCAACTTACAGCTCCTGCCCAGGTTTCCCTCACTAGATCATCGCCTTTGACAAAGCCTCTCCTAGGAACAAGCAACCCTCCTTCCTAAAACCTATTGCAATTGTGATTTTATATTTGTTTGTGCAATACTTGGACTTCCTTATGAGCTTCCTGAAGACAAGGCTCTTGTTCATTTCTGGTCCACCACTGGTGTCCTTAGCACCCAACTCTGTCACAGTTTGCCTAATAAACTGCAGTCCGTGGGTTATAACAATACCGTTTCCCCTTCTGATTTGCTGTTCTAATCCTCAATGGACTTAGAAGCCACATAACTTACAACTACATATTAAAGAAGAGAACAGAAGCAGTGTGGGGGGCGCTGATCAGCTACAGACAGAATACAGAAACTGTAGTGGATACAGTTTGTGAAATCTTCTGCGGCTCACCAAGAGACAAAGTTTTCTGATGTCTAGTTCATGTTCAAAGGTTCAGTGGGTGAGGCTGCAGACTGTCTTAGAGATGTGCGTTTGGTACAGTGTGAGAAACAGAAAAGAAATTTTTAAGCAGCTGAACTGTTAAATGGTGTTCAAACCTGTTATCGAGATTATTTAGCAATTAATGACTACCCAATTTTGAAACAGCATATTTCCTGGAAAAAGTATATTCTCCACTTCTTAACATTTTAAATATTAAATATGCTCCACATTTTTAACACATCATTATTTTAAAAAGTAAATTATCTATTATTAATAAAGTGTCCTTCTGGGTCAGACGGCTTGGTAATCATGCTCACCAAGTTTTAACCTTCTGCAGGCCAAGGTCATAAGCAGTTATGTTTATGCCACAAACCTGAAGTTACACTGAGAAGCATACTACTGAAAAATCACTGCAAATAAATTTAAATACTTGGAATGGTAACATAACTTTACAAAGACTCCTTTTCTCCATCCGTATTAAATGGTCACTTACCGGCATTAAAAGCTGTAAATAGACTTTTTCTTGAAGGACCTAAAATAGAAGAGAAATATTTATAAAATATATCTATATCTATATCTATATATATATCTATCATAGATATATATATATATGTTTTATTTGAAATATCACATGAAAATAAACCATTTTAAAAAAAAGGCTTCCCCCCCAAAAAAATTCCATTAACAGCTAAATTTTAGGTTAGATGGGAAATACTAGACATTTAATTAACTGTATTACGTACATTCTATGTATAAAATGATATTCCAAATAACATCAAAATGGTCATTTAAGGGTGGTATTATTCATCATCAAGAATTAAATATGATATGACAAACTATAGTATTTTTTTCAGTTCAAGAACTGCTGAAATTCAAATTTTACCAGTACTGAATTTATACATGTATTATACACTTGAAGCTGCTCCACTGCTGAGAGAGCAGAAAGGGCCAGACTCCATGAAAGAGAGCCACTAAGGTGTGATTTCTAAAATCACCAAGTATTAAACCCAGTTCCCTCGCTATTCAGCTATGAAGGAAAACATATTTAAGCTTTTTCTCCAAACTGCTACAACATAAAATACAGCCAGGGGAATCTTTCCACAATGTTTATGTATTTTAAATCATCAAATATACTATAATTTTATTTGTCGATTACATATCAATAAAGCTGAAAACAAATACAACCAGGAGTGGTAACAGGGACACAGCTACAAAGATAAGTCACTAGAAGAAAACTCTGAGCACTTGTACTCGCCATGATACAGTCATTTCTGGGGCATAATCACCGGCAGGGTGCTAGTTAGAACGGCTGCCACCTTCTATCTGCAGAATTCCAGACAGACGGTAATCTCTTAAAATATGTGGCTGTTATAAATGGAAAGCACTGATTCCCATTCAGGTAAAACCTCTGTGATACAAAAGCTCACCACAATTCAACAGCAAGGCATTTTAGAACAGTGGGGGTTTCTCTGTTCTGTAAAGATACCAGTGGAATCTCACCATTCTAACTCTCTGAAAGTTATCTTAGTATCAAAGTTCAACATTTCAGTTACTGGCATATGTGTAGATAAGGGGCTTTGTCACCATCAATAAAAACCAGATTCATATACTGATGTCGTCCCAGCAAGGGGTCAGAAATTCACTTAAGACCCTGGGCAGATGAGAACCTGCAGGCATATGGAAGAGTATTTTTGGCCAATGTCTATGCCTGTTTTTTTCCTGAATTGAGTTGAAAGGGAAAGTGTTGATAAATATTCACTGAGTAATTAACCTCAGGTTGCCATGTGATTTTTTTTTTTTACATACACGTGTGTCTCAAACACACACACAAGTGTTGACAAGGATGCAGAGCAACAGACACACCACTTTGAGAGACTAACACCTTTCCGGAAAGTTATTTAGTAACATGTGATAACAATTTCACAAAGATTCATACAGTTTGACCCCGCGATTGCTCTTTTAGGGATATCTCATGGAAGCAACTAGAATCTGAAGCAATGAACAATGTTCATGTTCACAAATGTTCGTCTCAGTTATCATGTGATGCAGTGAAAGTCAGAAACTGCCCAGGAACCAAGGAACTGGAAAACAGGAAGACGACTTCACTGCCATTCAAAATGCAGAAGCTCTCATGACGTACTAGTCAATTAATAAAAAGCAAGACACAAGGGAGTGTACATGCTATGCCCTGAGTTTTCTTGAAACAAAAGGAAAACCATTATATACGCAGAGAGAGAGAAAAGGAGGAAGTGTGACAGTTATTCATGGCTGATGGGATGAAGGAGGATTCCGTGTCTCTGCGCTTTTCAAACACTAACATAAACAGGGGTCACGTATTAGAGGTAAGGCCTCTCATTCACAATTACTCTTTCAGTTAAGCCATCTTTCAGTTCACTAAGCACCAGCTCCTAACGTGCTTCAGACCCACTGTGATAAAACTGCTTGGAAACATCCCACACGAAGTGTACACCACGTATGCTGTAGACCTGAAAGTTAACCTTCATAGCTTCAGCAATCACAGCGAGTAAAGCAGACAAGAGACAAAGAACAGGAGGGAAAAAAAAGAACATGGTTGGATCAAAGGTGCAAAGTAAACCACACATTTCTGTCTCCTGTCTCTAGAGCACCACCTTAGCATGACTTACCTCTAGAAGTCTTATTTACTTTCACCTTATATCTTTCTTTGCTCTATCTGCTGATTTATATGTATTAAGTTTTAGCTAAAGAACCTACGGAATCTCAGAACCAAAATAGCTCCCTCCGTGTAAAAATGTATTTTGTTTTTATCCAACACTTTTGTAAATAAATGTTCAATATGCCATGAACCTAACTGTCAAAATTTAACTTTGTCCCAGCCAAGGATTTAAAAAGTCTTGTCTTCCTTCCTCCTTCCCCAGTGAGGTCCATACCTTTTGGAGGAGTCTTCAGTAAGTGTGTGTGAGCTCTGGGTACCAAGGGCTTCAAATATAAGGCTCCTGACGAACCATTCTGAAATGCTGCTTTTGGAGGTTTTTCCTCATACTTGACGACAGCTGCATTACCTGCTGAAACACAACAGAGAAGTACATTTTATTTTGCAGACAAACACAGTATGAATCTTCCATGATCTGTCTTTCCTCCTTGAATCCACACATGCTCAGTAAGCACCTACAATGGCCAGTCGTTACTGGATGCTGGGAATACAAAGACCGAGAGTCAGGGATGCAGGGAAAACCATAACCGGGGTGACCCCACATCCCGGCACAGCCTACGTTTATGCCTCTTGTCCAGGTCAGCTTTCATCCCAGGTAAAAGCTGGGAGATATTCTAGTACCTGTGGAGGTCCTAGACCCATCCCCTGTGGACCCAAGGGGAGATGATAAGGTGCAAACTCCTGGGTAGTTGTAGAAAGGAGCTTAGGTTCTGACCCTCTCTGCCGCAGCAAGAAGCAGAAACGCCAACATCTGTCCTGGAACCAAGGTGCAGAAGCCGGAAAGCTAATGCATAAAAGGGAATTCCACCTAAATAATAAAAACCATCTTTCGTATGACATGTAAATCTTTCCTCTCTTACTCACATGGGGGTCAGCTCTTTTAGTTTCCAGGCACTAAAAGAATTGCTGACGAAAAGACTCTGAGAAAAAGTCTGATGATAACCGACTGTGCCTGGGCTGTGATGTGACTGAGTCCACTCCAGGTAACTGGGCTACCGGGCCCCCACAGCAGCAGACCTGCACCACTTCCCGGGAACATCTCCCAGCGAAAGTGAGAGGGGAGAATTAATTGAGCAAATACTATACTTCAGGTATAACATGTCAGTGAGTCCTAGAAAGGGCATCTTTGATTTTGCTACTGTTTCTGTCTTTGCTTCTGTTTCTCCACTGGGGACTCTAAAGACAATCTTAGCACAGGGGAAGACAGTGACATCTTGAAATAAAAAACACAGCTGTAAAAAACTGTGATAATTTCTAACTTGCTGATTTCCTATCAGAACCCAAATCTGAAACCACAGAGAAGCATTTATGAGCCAGCCTTAAGTCCATGTCTCACATACTCTTATTTCTTCTTTTGCCCAATAATGACCCAAAGCCCTTGGCATCAAAAAACACTATCTTTCAGCTGTGTGAGACAACTGTGTAAACTATATTTATATATAAGTTCTTCCTAAATTATGAGTTTCCTCTTCACATTTATGGCTTTTCACTGGATTAAGAAAATAATTCAAATCTTCTACCACATCCTTAAGATTTTTATGGGGCCGGGGGAAAGGCAGAGGGAAAATAAAGGGCAGGGCCTGTTCCCTGCACCCTGAATCAGAATGAGGATGCATCTTCACACTCTGTTTTTGCTTCATGCATGTCTGTTCCATACAGAAGTCCTTTGACATAGTGCGCGTCAGCTGTGGCATGTACGGCTCAGTGGACTTTGGGCTACTTCAGGAATACAGCCACTATCACCATCCTTTATTGTGCTGTGTTCAGCAGAGGGGATCTACATTTTAAAATCTCATGAAGTATCAAAAATTTTAAAGGAAAGGTTTGGAAAAAAAATAGTACCAGCATGTTAAGATAAAAACCTAAAAAGCTGTTTCTAATTTTATTAAGTGGTAACAAAAAGAGGGGGCGAGGAGATTGGCAGCAATGACTTAATTAAAGGGAAAGATGTCAGTATTTCCTTAACAAATCATCCCAAATTTACACTTTTCCTTTTCATTCTCCATCACTGAATAACCTTTGAGAAAAATACACTGTCCAGAAGCTGAGCTCCTGCCAGGAATTTTAACAGCACTGCTTGGCTCTTCCTAAGGGATTTACGTGTTCCATGCCGCGTTCAAGAACGCAGGCACCACACTTCGTCCTTTACTCTCTGAATCTCAGGGGGGAGAAATCCAAACAAAAATACTTTGAAAGTCTTATAGTCGTCTGTTCCCATAAAAGTTAATCTTTTTACCCATCTCCTCTTGCAAATCACACAAACTACAGGCATGTGTATGTCACCATATAGTCCCTAGGCCAGAGGGGACATCTGGAGGTTCATTCATTCATCCACTATCTGGTCTCCAACCTTAATTTCCCCTCCAGTGACCCAGATTAGATTTTTTATTGCTTGATTCTATATAAATCTTCAACACCCAATTCTAACCATCCAATTCTATTCTAATATTCAACACTTAAAATCACACATTTCTTTATTACCAACCTCGATCCTTCCTTTTAGATTCATAGAAAGAGGTGAGATGTCAACCTCATTTACGAAAATTTATGAATTCGAAGACAGCTAGAAATGTGTCACTAGGCTAAACGATCCCAGCTCCTGCAACAGCGCTAACAGACGTCACATTCAGACCTTGTAAAGACAAGCTGTCACTCTCCCCTGATCTGTGTCAAGTCCCGCTACAACGGGCCATCTGTTTGATCTTCCTGTGCCCAGATAACCCTTCCAACGTTAGGTCAGATCAACAGAGCCTTCCCTCCACTGAACACTTTCTGTCAATCTCTTTCTTTTCAGTTCCCTCCTTCCACAGAACCTGGAGGCTTGGTTTTTCCAAGGCTGACAGGGAACTAATGTAAATGATAAAAACAGAAGATACCACTACTATAAAATGCAATGTCACTTTTTAAAGAACAAATGGGGAATTAATTCATAGTCTTAAAAAAGACAAAACCAAAATTTCATAGAGCATATTTTTTAAAAATATTCTCCTATAAAATGGATATTAGGTTTCAATCAACATTTTAACTTTTGCTAAGTCAAAAATCCAAGAAAGGAAGTAAATAATGTTATTAGTCTTAACCATGTTCTACAACAATCTGGATTTGAGTCTCACTTTTCTTGACACATTTTACAAAGTATATTCAGCACCAAATAAGTCACTTATTCTGATTTTTTAAAAAACTGAAATGAGTTTAACTTTCAGCTCTATTAAAAATTTATATGATCCTAAATTCACACTTTTCATCTCTAAGCTTTGAACACAAAGAGCTTCAGTGTCCAAAGAACTCAGTAAAAAGATGTCTCACTAAAGCAAAAGACACATTTCTCATGAGGCACAATACTCCTGTCTTGTTGGCTCTTTCACAAGGAGAACAGGAGGTGTTGTCCTGGAAACAAAGTGTCTCACTGCCAGTCTTCACAGCCAATCTTGTTAGCACCAGATCTAGCATCAATCTGTAACATGTGAGGGTCAAAGATCCATATTTCAAGGAAAGAACTTCTGAGTGTGACGCAGGTACAAACACACACACACATTTACATTTATATGTGACATATATACGTACATACATACGCACACATATGCACACGCTCACACACACTCTCTGATCATCAACCACACACACACCCCACCCTCACTCCTCTCCACTTTACTAACGGTGGGGACAAACTGCAAAGCGGCACACACTTTCATGACCAAAACTTACACATCTTTCTCTCAAGTCTCTAAATGCTCTGAGCTGGCCTATTGCCCTCTAGTGAACCCCAACTTGAAGGGTGTACCTCTCTGTGGGCATGATGCCCTTTGAGTATTTCTCCTGCCCTCGATTTCAGCTCCTGGCACGGCACCTGGCTGGGGTCCTGGTGGTATCTAAAGTTTCTCTTGTCCAGAGTCACTATATTCAAATGATAAACTCTTCAGTGGCACAAGTTCCAACACAATAAGAGAGGCACATTAGTTTCAGGAAATGGACTGGCATCTCTAACATCTGAGTTCTGGCCCTGACAGGGCCACCGCCTGGCTGTGCCGGACCACTTCTCCTCTCTCGGGGTGAGTGGGTGTGAACAGGCCGTATGCAAGCAGGGTTTTCGCTGTCATGGGGCCACTAACTGATTGCGGTACTTGGTCCCACTGAGGCCAAATGCATGCCTAGAATTCTCCTAAATAGAGCACTCCAGCGGCCACAACTACTCAGTGACAGTCGGTCTACAGTTAATGTGTGGAACTGACGTGGTCACCCACATCTCAGCCAGCTCTAATACACGGTGTTAAGATCGGCCCTCTGCTGTCGTCATCCTCGGTCCTAGCTGTCTCAGCTATGTCGGTATAACAGATGCTCTGGAATCCTTATTTTTCACTTCCACGTGGTCAAAACGTGGTTCGTGTGAAATCAGAGAGACAGGGAGAAAGAGCGATGCCTGAGTCTAAGGAGAAAGCGAAGAGATTCCTACTGCAGCCCAAGCAGAAGGAAAGACTTCCCTGCTGGAGAAAGGCTTCGGGTTGTTCCCACTTTTATTTGCAAACTAACATTTCATTCTAGCATCTCATTAACATGAGTTTTTGTTTTGTTTATTAAAATACGTATTACACACAGAGCCAACCTTCTGCTCCTTTCTTGAATTTTTGGTGGATCGGTTGATCAGATGCTGCCAGATCATCTGCCCATATGGCCTGAAATCAAACCACTCAAGTCGAAGCCTTCAAGTTCCAAAAGCAAAATTACCCGGCTTTGTAGCAACAAGAATGTCTCATATATAACCTACAAAAGCATTCAATGAATGAAAACAAAATGAATACCAGTCTGGATAGCAGTATTGTCTTATTAAGTACTCCATTCAGATGTGCATGAGTGTTAAGCCTGTCCTGTAACACGGAGTCGGAGCACTTACCCACCTGTCTCTCACCCGCTCTGTACCCCCGACAGGCATCACTAGTCAAGTACACACTTTTGCTCTGAACCTGGAATCAGCCGGAAAAACTTTCAAAACTGTGCTCCAGGTGAGTCTCACCAACTGGCCAGTGTTGGCAGGTGAGACAATACCCACTTGCCATCCTGCAATGAGGCCGAGACTGGAAGTGAGTAAGGTTTTTCCTTCTCCCTGTCAGCTTCATCACTTCAGCAACTCAAAACACCCTCCTTCCAAACTGTTAGGCACCATTTTACTATCTCTTTGTGAAGAAAATAAAAGTGGTCAGGAACATCTGCTGCTGTAAGGATTTTGAAGATGATCGAGGCCTTCCTCCCCATTTATCAGGTGAGAACACTGAGGCTAAGAGTGTAAGATTGTCCAACTTCTATGAGTTAGTAATAACGCTAGGATGAGTGGAATGTCCTTTTCTACGTGTCACTCTG